TAAGCATTTGAAAAGATGCTTAGTGATAATAACATATTATACTATGTAATATTGTTGGAATGTTTAAGTCCATCACAAATCATATGGTTAAATCTTAACCACCAAAGTGATATAGGTCATGAGGCTGGAGCCCTTTTTGGAAGTAGCACCTTTATAAAAGAGCCCTAAAAGAGACCACTTGCTCTTTCTACTATGTTAGAAGACAATAAGAAAATACTGTCTATGAACCAGAAACAAAACATTGCCAGGCACTAAATTTGCTGGTGCCTTATTTTGAACTTCTAGGCCTTCAGAAACATAAGAATAAATTTCTGTTGTTTACAAACTACTCAATTTATGGCACTTTGTTATAGCAGCCTGAAGAGAGTAAGGCAAAATATTGTTAGAGAATTAAAAATTTTATAAAAGAACATTAGATACCACTACAGACTTGGTGAAATAGCCAGATACTTGAAGGGAGGCTGGGATGAATACAGGCAACTTTTAAGATAGTGAAACTATTTTGTGTGACACTATAATGGTGGATACATGATTTCATATATTTGCCAAATCCATAAAAGATACAATGCAAAGGTGAAATGTAATATAAATCGTGGATTTTTATTAATAGTGATATATCTTTTTATCAATACTGGCTTACCATTTTTAAAAATGTTCCAAGTTTTTGCAAAATTCTTACAATAGAAGAAACTTGTGGAGGTCAGAGTGAGTATAAGGAAAATTTGCTCACTCTTTTGTAAACCTAAAATGCCTCAAACTTTAAATATACAAATTACAAAAATGGAATAAATTTGGAAACCAGAATGCTCATTTTAAAATTCCAGGTATATTTTGTCTAGTTGATTAACCTTGGAGTAAATACTCAATTTGCATTTGTCATGATTTGTGTTCTTTAAAATAAAGATGATAATAGTACTTTCCTCATAGGAAACACTTAAGTGACTGATATTTCAAAGCAAGGAAATAAAAAATGATAAAATTGTCCAATTTCTATATTACGTATTTTAAGATGGATGACAGAGATGCTGAAGATAAAGTGCCTCATCTAATGAATATTATGTTGATATAAAGATTTATAATGTGTAGATTACTCATTGGTTTTAATCAGTTAAATGGTGTTTAATTATTTCATATAATGACAATAAATATTAATGGTATGGAATTAAATATGAAACACTTAAGAATTGATTAAAGATATTGAGAGAATAATGGATGGGGAAGTAACAGTGAGAAAATATATGTTGAAGTTATGATAAAGCATTTACATATTTGAAAATAATGACATAATTTTTTATATATTGTCACTGTTTGAATTTTATTTGATAGTGGTCAACATAGGCATATCCATTTCCTAAGCAAAATAAGATTTGATTTTTAATCTTATAAAATTGCCTTTTTATACATTATCTGTATAGTGTTGGTGTTTCTCACTTCTTTCAATGGGAGGAATTACAACAGTAGTTTTTCCATTACTAAACTCTATGAGTGGTGAGAGGAAGAAAAGGGTAAAAGGATTAAAAAGGGTAAAAATATGATATGTATTTGTACTGATACTCCTAAAGAAATGTAAATATTAGATATTGCAAACATGTATCAATCAAAAGCTTTATGTGATTAATGGATATTAGCTTTTCTTAAAATGTATATCTTAATGGAAGATTAATTCATGCTCAGTGTAAAATTTAAATAGAATAAAGAGATATGAAGTGAAAAGTAAAAGATTTGGATGTGCCAACAACTATCAACTCAGAGAAAATTATCAGTTAGAATGTTTATATATTCTTCCAAACATCAATACATAATCATACATATCTATTAGAAACACATAGATGAGATTATATAAGTTATGAAACTACCAATGCCTGCTTTCAATCAAAAGATCACAATTTTAATATAATTCTCACATATTTTATTTTGCCTAGATGAACAGTATTCCAAAACTGTGCGTATCTTAATTCACGTCACTAGTCATGAATAGTTTGAAATCAAATCCCACTTCCCTGCTTTTGCAGCTACAAATAATAGTGTAACAACATCTTTCTAAATAATTCTTTACCCACGGTGCTAGTTTAGCTATGGGGATAAGATTTAAAATAGACGTTTTAGGACAACAAACAACTGATGTGTTGAAGGAATATGTATCTAAGTTTGTGCATGCAATGAAATTTCTCTCCAAAAAGATGTAATGCAAGTTTTTATTCTCATTAATATGTATGTGATGGTAGTGTTACTCATCACTCTCAAAAATGTTAAATATTGCATATTTGAAAGAGTAGTATAATTTTTGTTTTACTTCGTGTTTTTTTCCAAGTGCATATGTTTTTGAACCTGTATTTTTTTAACATCTTTATTAAATTTGGTCTAACTGCTATTTTAGATTTTAATGTTGAATTGTAACTTTTGATTTTTCTGTCTTTAATGCATTCTAAAAATTTATTTATTTGGTTTTTGAAGTCAAGTTTTTGCTATGTAGGTCACATGTATATATAGCCATTAGAATAGAATAGGGTTTTGGATGATTTATGTGAATGTTAAACATCTAGATTAATTTTCAGAGTAACTGAGAAGAAATTATCAGTAAGACACCTGCAAAATTGTGAAATTAAATATAGGATGGTCATCTTGAGTCTAATAGATGATTATAGTACTTTGAGGATGATAGCAGGCAGGTTAGTTTAATGTCATACTCTTCAAAGCAACATGGAATTTTGAGGAACATGGCATGAGAAATACTTTGGAAACACAAATGGGGAAAAAGAATATTTCCATGTTGTGAGATAACTGACAGCTCTACAGGGAAAACATCCCCTTTGTATTTGGATACAATTTCTTATAGTATATTGTTAATATGATTTAATTTGTTTTGCTAAGATAGAAGAAACAATTTAAAACCATAGCTAAATGCAGTGAATCACTGGCATGCTTTTTAATAATAGCAAAAAACAAAATGATCCAACAGTAGAAGAAAGGAAGTGGTGAATATGCGTTATCTCAATTTCTTTTCAAGTCTCAGTCTTTTGTTTTGTAAAATGGAAGAAACTTCAAATGTTCTATTGTTTATAGTAAAATGTTGTATCTAAAATATATCCAAAACCCATAAAAGATATAATCTCTGTTCAGTGATATTCTTAGCCTGTCCCTGTGGCTGTTGAATATCAAACATTTTTGTCTTGAGCCTAGAGTTTGAAAAATTTCTTCATAAAACATTTTGATACAGTACATACAAACATGTACACTCTTTTACACATAACTGAAAAATTTTAAGCAAAATTTTTATGAAATAATACTTATCTATTATGAGATGTGCATTAAAAGTGTAATGTTCATGCTGTCCAAAATTATAGATAGTCACAAGTGGCTATTTAAATATAAACTATTTAGAATCACAAAAGATTCCAGTGGCCACATGTTTCTAATTTTACCATATTGACTAGCATAAATATAAAACTTTTCCTTATTTGCAGGAATTATGATTGAATAGCCCTAGCTGTATTCTATTCTAGTTTACTCTATCCTATTCTCTCTTTTTTTCCTGTTCTTTTCTAAAATAATTTCATGGGCCATGTATTGAGTGAAAATTGTAAAAAAGCAGCTTTGGAAATGTAGAATTAAATATTTTCACATAATAAAATGCTCGTTGAGATTGTTACTGGTCAATTGATTCATAATAAAATATTTGTGTGGCTACAACATACAAATACCAAAACTGATTTTTCTATGCCACCATTGTGCAATATATATAGAATGTAATCTTTTTATTCATTTTAAATAATCTAAATCACAATAAAATAACAGAATATATGAAATTAAAGTATTTTATCCAAATTATGTATATAATTTAATACATGATAAATGTAAAATCGTTAATATATTTTACGTTGATGTTGCCTGTAAATAAAACTTTTATATTTCTCATCCAACCAAAAAAGTGAAATATTAGTTTTCAACATTAGTATTTTCTTTCTCTTGGATATCTGTCCTCTACAGTGGTATAGTGGCCAATAATATCTTATTCTGGGAACTATCCCCTAAATAGGAAACCAAAAGAATATAAATAAAGATGCTATTTACTGACTACATTCCCTGTGCATTAAATTTGTTTTATATGTATTGTTTACATATATTGTTATATTTGTTTTATATACATTATTTGCATGTATTATTATATTTCATTACAAGATAGTTCTATTTCAAAGCCTCTCTAGAAGGAGGCCACACTCAAAAAATATATAATTCTTTCAGTTTTTTCCAGAAGATGTTCATTGTCACATTAAAAGTAAGGAAATATGTTATTTAATTTCAGTTCTACTTGTCTTTACAACTAGTATTATGAAGACTACCATAATTCAATTATGCACAATTAATTAGTATTGATATCAACTATTTCATTCGGATGCATGTTTAGAAATACATGTTTTTTTGTGCAAATCCTCGTTTTTATAGGCTGATAATGAGAGATCAAGACCAATTTCTGAATTACTTCCATAAGTATATATTAACCTCAATTTAAAATAATACCAACCTTATGTAAGTCAAATTTACTGTAACAGAAATGTCAGACAGTGACAATTTTTGTCACTAGTATCTTTTACCAAACAATGTTTAACATTAAATGTATTAAATATATCCACAAAAGCTTAAGTTTGGGTTTATAATGAGATCATACAAAACATATTTTTAAATGAGGTGATGTGGCTTAGGAGCAGTCACTCAAGATCCTTAAATTTTCTGAAAGTTAAAGTAGTTTTCTTTTTGCCATTTAGTCTTTATTATTGCAAAGAAATTTATTGAAAATTACAATTTTAAAGGAGATTTTGAAAATATTTCCTGGAATTTCAACTAATTGTTCTATACTTCTATCCGATTTAATTTATACTACCATCTAGTATTTATGTTTGAGATTATAAGTTTAAGCCAGAATAACTTTAATACCTGAGACTAAGCTTTCATTTCCAAAACTACTCCCTGGTTAACTGACATTTTATTTTTATGTATTATAGGTACAATTTCATTTTCCATTAAAAATGGAAATGATAATGACTCTCAGAAAGAAATAAATCAAGATAAAGGATTCTTTCATAAACTATCAGAACTATCAGAACTATCAGAACTATCAGAACTATCAGAACTATCCACCATTTCTATTAAGGAAGAGTCAGGTAAATGTACTATACAGTTTCGTGATTAGCATACATGAGCACTCATCATCATTAACTTTTAAATAACATATTTACATGCATAATATATCTGAATTTGTACTTCGTATGTCTGAGCATTTTGCATTTCAAAATAAATTTTGTGTAGTTTATTTTCTGGATTTCTATTGTTATTAATATCAATGGATGATATACTTCAGTTTGAAGGATGTCTACCCTTCTGTAAGTGAAAAATTTTACTTATCTTTCTATTGTTAAAAATATAGCAAAATGCTAATAAGCATTATTTTAACAATGTAGGGCTGGGGATTTAGCTCAGTGGTTCTGACGCCTGCCTCACAAGCTCAAAGATGATTGATCCCCAGTACCAAACAAAAAACAAAAAAATGTAAAATGCATTTCTTATTTCAGTATAAAAGATGATAGCAATCTTTATATATGCCAAAGAAGCTAAGTGCTATTGTTTTCCCTCCCTATATTTTATAGCTTTTTTTGAATGTTGTTAAATATCATATATTTTTAGTATGAATTGAAAGGAGAATGTGATGATAGAGAATTGGAATAATCAGGGAAAGGTTCCTGGACAAATTATTCTTTTACGGCTGGGTAGCAAAGACCCAAGTGTTTAATAGAGAAGAGAAGTTCAGCAGGAGTAAAGTTGTAGAGACAAGGATGTATACCAAAAAAGTATATTTTCATTGAATAAATTTGTATCAGTAAGAGTTCTTTAGAGAAATAGAATCAGTAGTGGAATCTCTGTATTTCTTTCTCTTTCTCTCTAACACATATGTGAGCACATGCACAACACACACACACACACACACACACACACACACACACACACACACGCAGAGCTATTTGATTCTGTCACTCTGGATAACCTTGACTAATATAGTCAGGTGGAAAGAGTGTTTAGTTACTTTACCAAAAAACATATATGACTGTTTTCAGGTAGAGATAAGAATTGGAATCTTTTTCTTCTGATCTGTTCTCAACTAATTCTACTATACTTTGTACTCATAGCAACAAAAGCAACCCTTGTGGTCATAGATACCTCTTCTCTACAAAGTCCTTTCTCTGAGAATTCACTGTGGGATAAAGCATTGCCAAGACCCATGAAAAGTAGGGCCAGGGATTTAGCTCAGTGGTGCCACCCTCTGCTTTGCAAACGCAAGGACCAGACTTTGATCCCTGGTACAAAAAAAAAAAAAAAAAAAAAAAAAAAAAAAAAGAAGAGAAAGAAAAGAAAAGTATCTGTATGATACCCAGAAGGGAACTACATTTCACTTTAGGAACTTCAGTTTATTTTTTGAAAAGTCACAATAAAATGTCATAAAGTCCTTTAAAGTGCTTTCATAAAATTGAAGGAGCAGCCCATACAAATTGAGAAGAGATTTACTCAATAACTTTCTGTCATTGTATATTTGGTAAACTTATTTGCACATTAGTAGTTTCATGGGAATGTACTTTTGCCTGCCAAACAAGCGCAGAAGACAATTCGAAATGAGGAAGTAAGAGTAAGTTTGTCATCAAAAACTCTTTAAGGCATTGGAAGTAAGAACTCAATAGTGAGGACCTCTCTTTCTCCACCTCTCTGATTGTTTTGAATATCTCTCAGATTTACCAATTTTATAAGTCTTTGGTAGTTAAAATATTAAATTAGGGTGGCATATAGTATTGTAACAAATATTGCTCAGTGTTCTGACTCTAGATGCTATAACAGAGTCAGGCTGAGAAGAAGCGAGCACACACCCTGGAAATTGAAGGCAGGTTTATTTCACTAGCAGTCTTACCAGGGACTTCTCCACAAAGTTATCAGGGCTGTCTGGTTGGAGAACAGGGTTTGTATAGATTTGAAAAAGGAGGTGGGGTGAAGATACAGTGACAAGACACTCAACATTAGTTCTTTGGTTAAGGTAGCTCCATTTAGCTTGTACAATTGGAGAAAAAGGTACACTAGGATTCACTTTATTTACATATGATGGGTAGTAGGGGTCACAAACCCTACTGAGAACAAAGGACAATGGAGGAAAACATGTAACATGTCCATCAAGTCTGAGTTAGACCCAGACATGTTTCAGTTGCAGGAGGGGTCAGAGCTAGCAGGAGCCTTTGCTTGCTACCTGATTAGCTACACTACAGGCTGCTTCTCATCAGAAATCATTTTCCTGTTCAATAGGACAACGTAATACAATGCAAGATGGTTTGGAAATGTGCAGTTCAGTAAGACAAGGCCATGTTATAAAACACAGTATGTCCTTCAGTGTCATACAATGCCATACAATATGCAATGCAATGCAAAATAATACATATATGGAGAAGACTTTCAGAAGACACACTGAGAATGCCACTACTCCAGCCTCCTTAAGTAAATTATTGTAGCACAATAGTTCTTGAAATCTTCTACGTAATATTAATGCAAATGTGCCATACAATTTACTGAAACCAGAGAACATCTTAAACAATGAAAGAATAGCAAATTAAGAAGCTGAATAGATGAAGAAAAATAGAGCGAAAGAACATAGATTTGATGCAATTAAAAGGGTTCTAGTTTCAGGGATAGAGTATAGGTTTGAACATCACTGGTAACAGAACTGTCTACTTTTAAAAATTTTGAGAATCCAGGTGAAAACTTCATTTTCTTACTACCTAATCCAAACGTCTTTCTGGCTCTTTTTTTTTCTTTTCTTTTCTTTCTGGCTAAATTACTGAAATCCTTTTTCACACTTCCAAGAAACCTAAAATGTCATATCAGTGCCTTTTTTCCTTAGTCTAAATTTTTATGGTTCTAGTATATAGAATTATCAATTGTGTTATTTTGACAATGTATATACAAATATAAACGTATGATGTTTTGTCAGTTAGACAAAAAATTCTCTTTATAACTTTAATTCCTGACTTAAAAATAATACATCTTATGTTTATTTTAGTGGCAAATACGAAGAGTTACTGGAACTGTTTAAGACCAAGAGCTTGTATAAGACAGAATGGGCTTCTCATATTGTTCACAAACTATGATGAAAGCAGTCCTCTCCCCTCCCCTCCCCTCCCCTCCCACTTCTCTCCTCTAGTTTTCAGATAAAAGTTCTGGCCATGTAGTTCAGGCTGACCTTGAAATTACTATGCAGCCCAGGCTGGTCTGCACCTCTTGGCAGTCCTCCCACTTAAGGTTCCTGAGTGTTTGAGACCACAGGTATGGTCCACCAAGCTCAGCATTCCCCTCAGATCTCCTCACAAATCATTTTTTAAAAATCTGCTTATGATGTCCAATTCGTATGTTAGGTATGGGATTCTGAAGCCTATATTAAGTACTGTTTTTTTTTTCTTTCCTTAGTCTTTGTTTTGTATTTCAGATGAGGATCTTAGCAGTTTAAGAATATGGTATCATCTTGAGATCCACTCCTCTCCTGGACCACCCCTAACTGTTATTGAAATGGAGTGTATTGCTCTGGTAAGACCACATTAAATATCCACAGATTCTGATATTTGTCAAATACAACTTATGTCGTACATTAAATTTCTATCCATGAAATTACCTATATCAAATAAGTATATTGAAATGATTCAACCATAGTAGTTTTATTTTAAAATTTGGTACTATGGACCAAAAATGCTTTTGTAAACTTTTTTAGTTATATGCCATTTTATATTGACTAACAATCTACCTATATGTTTCAAGAGTTTTTAGCGTAAATTGGACTTTAGTCTATGTGCTTTTTCTCACATACTATATAGTAAAAGGAGAACTGTGCATTTTAGCACATTCCAGTAGTAATTATTTCTGATTTTTAGAGCAAAGCTTTCATTTTGAAACACATTTGGAGTAAATTGCATAGATATGGGGTTTTAAATAATACTAAGTATGGAATTTTCTTGCATGAGTTATTGATATGTTAAGAAATTTATGTCCAAAATTATCTCATGAAGTCAGATATTGAGAATCTTGGTTTAAATGAAGCATAAAACATATTAATTGGTATTACCAATATTTTAATTAGATATAATTTTCTTAGTGCTAGTACTTGGATATTTAAATTCATTATACTCCAATATATATTTTAATTTTACATGTACTTATAGATTTCTTCATAAAATTCATTAAATAAAATCTTGAACTTTGGCTCCAATAAATGTAAAGTAAGAAAAGATGTAAAATATGTTAAGTCAACAAATTATTTGGTCATGTGGTTTCTGGGAAATCTCCAGTGAGGCACAGGAGAAGGATGGCTAAAATATTGAAATGCACGCAAGGGTAGCTTGTAAAAATTTCACCTTCTAAGTGGAAGATTATTTAATATCACGATGTGGGGTTATTTCACTCAATGAAACTATCCTATGTCTGTGACCTGGTTATTGTTATAGTATAAAATCTCTCTTAAAATTTATTTTACATAACATAACTTTAATTATACAGCGCACTCCCACAGAAAATGATCACTGAATTAAAAGTCTATCTCTATATAAGAAAATAGAAGAATTTTTAAAAACGGAACTAAAGAAATTGGAAATTTGAGATATTACTTCAGAATAGAGAACATGGCTTCCTGATACTTTAAATATTTTAAATGGCGATAGAGATAAACTGAAATTTGAAATACAAACTAGCAAAAATGGATGCAATTCTAAGATCACTTATAGACATCTGTTGCACTTTCTTTTTAATTGCTATGCAAAGTGTCTTTTTTATTGAGTTCATTGGTACTTTTTAAGTTTAGAGTACAGTTAAATTTATCACTGGGATCTTAAACCTTTATATGACAGATCTTGGTTCTCATTTTTCCCCATACCCCTGCCCTCTTCACGCCCTCCACCCTCCCCTATTTATGAAGACTTTGTTTCCATTTTTTCCTTTTCTCATATTTTATCTTTTCCCTTATTTTCTTCTTCCTACCTTTCCCACTTCTCCTACACATTTAGCCCTTTTATTCCTATTTCACACTGTCAGTTACACAATTTGGATGTTATTTACACTTGTAGTTTTTCACACCAGAGAAACTAGTTGGTATTCACAAATCTGTGTATTATTTATTTCATATAAAAGTATGGCCTCAACAAGCATCCATTTTCCTATGAATGACTCTAGCTTCTCCTTCTTTATGGCTGAGTAGTACTCCATTTTATAGAAAAAACACATCTTCTTTAACCAGTCTCCAACTGATGGGCAAATGGGCTGTTTCCAAGTTTTAGCTATTAAAAACTGTGCTGCTGTAAACATGGGTACGCATATATCACTGTGGTATGGTTCTTTTAATTCTTTTGGAAAGATACCCAGCAGAGGGATAGCTTGGTCAAATGGGACCACTAATCCTAGTTCTTTGAGGTATCTCCATATTGATTTCCACAGTGGTTGCACCAGTCTGCACTCCCACCAACAATGGAGAGCGGTTCCTTTCTCCCCATAACCCTGCCAACATTTGTTATTGCTTGATTTCTTGATAGCAGCCATTCTTTGTGGGGTGAGGTAGAATCTCAGTGTTGTTTTCATCTGCATCTTTCGAATGAACAGTGATGTGGAACAGTTTTTCATATATTTACTTGCTGATTTTACTTCTTTGTCTGAGAAATGTCTGTTCATTCCAGATGCCCATTTTTGAAGCAGGTCTTTATATTGAGGGGGCTGAATTTTTTAAAGTTCTTTATATATACTAGATAATAGTCGTTTGAGGAGCAGCTGACAAAATTTTTTCCCACATTGTAGTGTGTCTCTTAGCTCTATTGGTGGTTTCTTTTGCAAGGCAGAAGCTTTTTTTTTTTTGGTACTGGGAATTGAGTTTGTGTCCTTGCACTTGCGCTTGCACTTGTAAGGCAGGCCACTGAACTGGTGAGCTAAATCCCCGGCCCAGAAGCTTTTTAATAACATGAGATCCCAGTTGTTGATTCTTTGTGTTAGTTCCCATGCTATTGAGGTTTTGTTCATAAAGTCTTTTCCTATGACAATGTCTTCAAGTGTTATCTTGAAATTAATTTATCTTCCAGCAAGTTTAGTGTTTCTTTTGTAATATTTAGATCTTTAATCCACTTGGATTTCAGTTTAGTGCATGGTGAAAGATAAGGGTCTAGTTTTAATGTTTTTGGCAGGTTGAAATCCAGATTTTCCAACACCATTTATTAAAGAAGCTATCTTTTCTCCACTGAGGATGGTTGGCTCCTTTGTGAAAGATGAGGTAATTGAGTACGTCTGAAGTTGTTTCTGTATCTTCTAATCTATTCCACTGATCCTCAGGTCTTTTTCTTTGCCAGTACCATGCTGTTTTTATCACAGTGGCTTTGTAGTATACTTTTAGGTTGGGGATTGTGATACCCGCTTCCATGTCTCTGTTGCTCAGAATTGCTTTTGCTATTTTAGGTCTCATCTGATTCCAAATGAATGTTTAGATTACTTTCTCTAGTTCTGTGAAATATACTGTGGGAATTTCAATCACAATGGCATTGAATCTGTATAGCAGTTTCTGTAGAATGGCCATTTTCAATATGTTGATTCTTCTTACCCAGGAGCAGGGGATATCTTTCCATTTTCTTATATTCTCTTTGATCTCTTTTTTCAGAGTGCTGTAGTTTTTAGTGTAGAGGTCTTTTGCTTCTTTCATTAGATTGATTCCTAGATACTTCATTTTTTGGATGCTATTATGAAAGGAAATGTTTCCCTCGTGTCTTTCTCAGTGAGTGTGTTATTTGTGCTCAAGAAGGCTACTGATTTTTGAGTGTTGACCTTGTATTCATCTACTCTGGTGAAAGTATCCATTAAGCCCAGAAGCCTTTTGGCAGAGTTTTGGGGTCTTCTACGTAGAGTATCATATCATCAGCAAATAATGACAGTTACATTCTTCCTTTGCTATCTTTATTACTTTGATTTCTTTTTCTTGTCTAGTTGCTGTAGCTAATTTTCCAGAACTATATTGAACAGGATTTGTGATCTTGAACATCCTTGTCTTGCTCCTAATTTTAACATGAAGACTTTTAGTTTTTGTCCATTTAATATGGTGTTGGCTGTTGGCTTTTCATAGATACACTTTATCAAGTTTAGATAAAGACCATCTATTCCATTTTTCTGCAGAGTTTTTATAATGAATGGGTGTTGAATTTTGTCAAATGCTTATCCTGAATCTATTGAGATGATCATATGTTTTTTGTTCTTCATTCTGTGCATTACATTTTTTGATTCAATTGTGTTGATCCATCCTTGCATCCCTGGAATAAATCCAACTTGGTCTGGATGTATGATCTTCTTTAGGACCCTCTGTATTCTTTTTGCATTGTATGGAGGATTTTTGCATCTATGTTCATTAAGGAGAGTGACCTGTTGTTCTCTTTTTCCTTTGGGTCTTTCCCTGGTTTGGGAGTCAAAGTAACACTTGCTTCCAGTAATAAATTTGGAAGTATTACTTCCCTTTCAATTTCATTGAAAAGTTTAAACAGTATTGGCAGTAGTTCTCTAAATGTTTCATAGAATTTGGCAGCAAATCCATCAGGAACTGGGCTTTTCTTAGTTGGTAAACTTTTAATTACATTTTCAATTTCACTGATTGTAATTGGGGTGTTTAGAAATTTTTTATCTTCTTTGTTCAACTTTGGTAATTCATAAGTGTCAAGAAATCTGTCCATTTCTTCTGTGTTTTCCATTTTATTAGAGTACTGGTTCTCAAAGTAGGTATTGATGATCCTCCGGATTTCTGCTGCATCTGTTGTGACTTCACTTTTTTCATTCTTAATTGCATGGATCTGAGCCTTTTCTTTCCTTTTTGTGACAGGGTTGGCTGAGGTTTTAGCAATTTTATTTATTCTTTTTAAAAACCAACTGTTTGCTTCATTGATTTTTTTGTATTATTCTGTTAGTTTCCATTGCATTGATTTCTGCTCCAATCTTTATAATTTCTTTGCTTCCACGAGCTTTGGGATTTTCATGCTCATATTTTTCTAGCAGCCTAAGATTCATCGTTAGGTTATTTGAGATTGCTCTGTTTTCCTACTGTGGGCATTCACTGCTATGAATTTCTGTGGTAAAACTGCTTTCATTGTTCCCATAGATTCCTGTATGTTGTATTGGCATTATCATTTATTTTTATAAACTGACTGATTTCTTCTTTAATTTCCTCTGTGACCCATTGATTGTTCAGGAGAGTGTTATTCAATTTCCATGTGTTTGTGAAGTTCTTACAGTTTATCATGCGATGGATATCTAGCTTAATTGCTAGACTATGGTCTGATAATATATATGGGATAACTTCTAGTCTTTTGCATTTATTTAAATATGTTCTGTGAGCTAGTATGTGGCCTCTTTTGGAGAATGACCCATGTGCAGCTGAAAAGAATGTATATTTTGATTTTGTGGGATGGAACACTCTGTAGATGTCTATTTATTAAGTCCATTTGTTCAAAAGTTTCCTTCATTTCTAATATTTCTTTGTTGATATTTTTTTGTCTAGATGATCTGTCTATTTGTGATAGTGGGTT